GGTCCGCGGAACAGGTCCTCGAATGGTCCGCGGGACGGGTCCTCAAATGGTCCATGGGACAAGTCCTCTTAAACGGTCCGCGAGGCAGGTCTTCAAATGGTCCACCGAAATGGGTCCTCAAATGGTCCGCGGGGCAGGTCCTCAAATGGTCCGCGGGACAGGTTCTCTCAAATAGCCGCGGGACAGGTCTTCAAATGGTCCGCAGGGCAGATTCTGAAATGGTCTGCGGGACTGGTCCTCAATTGGTCCGCGGGACCGGTCCTCAAATGGTCCGCGGGACAGGTCTTCAGCTGCTCCGTGAGACCGGTCGGGGGAAATGTCCCAGGTCTGTCATCCGATACCGCGGGAAAGGCCTGACGTCCCTCTCCCCTCCGTCCCTCCCCCCCGCGGTCGGGCCGGGCCGGTCCTCGTGTGATTGGAGACCGTGGGAAATTTGGAGGCGCTGTGGACCACCTAACGCAAGTCCTACCCCAAGAAGACGCTCGAAATCAACGCATGGTATATACGTGCACGCTTTCACGTCGAAACCGCGAGAAACATCGTCCGATCATTTGTGGATGCCCAACTGCCATCCCGAGGCATGGTAATGCCTTAGTTTGTCTGTTGTTGATGAAGGTGGCCTAGAATGAGATCAAGTCAACGAACTTAGATACGAATGTGAGATAAGAACACTCACACACAACACGGACAATGGTGAGCGAATGGCCTCAACCAATTTTTAAACGTGCTTCAATTGTATCATGGCTGTTGAACACTCAAGCACCGGGTTCGAATCCCATTGGAGTAGCATATTTCCCGGTTACAGGCGGGGCTGCACGGCTAGTCACGTGAAGCCGATAGACTGCAAGATTCGGTGTGCATGAGGAAGAGGAAAGGGAGCCGGTCGGTCAGTGTCCGCTGGCGGTGTGACGGGGGCGAGCCTTATGAGCTCACCACGCCTTCCCCCGGCACCTGCAGGCAACCGCGTACGAACGCCAAGACTGAGCCGGGAGTCCAATGGGAAGTGCGCAGACACTGGGGCCGCCTCTGGAGTTAAGGAGCAGGCAGGAAGCATGCAGAAGGCATGCATGACCGCTCCGAGGCTCAGGGAGCAGTGTGCCGACGCCCGGACTGAGCCGAAACTCAAGAGAGCATCAAAGCAATCTGCAAAAGCTGGAGCCATTCCGGCACTCGAGAACGAGGTGCAGACGCTGTGACCGTTCCGCCACTCCGCGCCGGAGCAGCCCAGCAGTCAGCACTGCCCCGACACCAGTACAGCCTTGGGACCAGCAGTGACGTGAAGCGGACGCCCCGGCGGCCCAAGGAGTGAGGGAGCGAGGCGCGGAGTGCGGCGTCGGCCCGGTACTCGGAGGAGCCAGCAGCGGCGAGCTGACCGCCCAGGTGTCGCCGGCTCTCCGGCGGCGTCACCGCGGCATGACGGGCCGCAGCCAGGCGGCGCCGCGCCGCACGGAGCCACATTGTGCCGTCGCGTCACGGCCACCGCGTCTCGCGACGCACGGCGAGAGGCGCCGCCGGTGACGGAGATCTCCGCAGAGGGATGCAGTCAGAGGCAGAAGTCACCGCGGAGGGATGCAATCAGAGGCGGAGGTCACCGCGGAGGGATGCAGTCAGAGGCAGAGGTCACCGCGGAGAGATGCAGTCAGAGGCAGAGGTCACCACGGAGGGATGCAGTCAGAGGCGGAGGTCACCGAGGAGGGATGCAGGCATAGCGGAAGGTCACCGCGGAGGGATGCAGTCAGAGGCGGAGGTCACCGCGGAGGGATGCAGTCAGAGGCGGAGGTCACCGCGGAGGGATGCAGTCAGAGGCGGAGGTCACCGCGGAGGGATGCAGTCAGAGGCGGAGGTCACCGCGGAGGGATGCAGTCAGAGGCGGAGGTCACCGCGGAGGGATACAGTCAGGGGCGGAGGTCACCGCGGAGGGATGCAGTCAGAGGCGGATGTCGCTGCGGAGGGATGCAGTCAGAGGCGAAGGTCACCGCGGAGGGATGCAGCCAGGGGCGGAGGTCACCGCGGAGGGATGCAGTCAAAGGCGGAGGGTCACCGCGGAGGGATGCAGTCAGAGGCGGAGGTCACCGCGGAGGGATGCAGCCAGGGGCGGAGGTCACCGCGGAGGGATGCAGTCAAAGGCGGAGGTCGCCGGGGGGGATCAGTCAGCGGTGGAGCTCGCCGGGGAGGGATGCAGTCAGAGGGGGAGGTCACCGCGGAGGGATGCAGTCAGAGGCGCAGGTCATCGGAGAAGGGTGAGTCAAAGGTGGAGATTACCGGGGAAGGATGTGTTCAGAGGCGGAGATCATGCAGCCAGAGGCAAAGGTCACCTGGCAAGGAATGCCTGGACGAAATCGCATCGTTACAGTCGGTGGCGAAATGACGTACAAAAAGAGACAGCAACTGGTTAGAATCGTACAAATTTGTTGCAAACTTCAAGTCGTTATGGTCATGAGCCTCTAATTTGCCTAGCAAAAGGAGCAGGCACACCAGCTGCATTACCGACGCTCAGCAAAACAGTTTGCCATGCCATACTTATTGGATTCGTTAGCAGTTTGGCCACTTTGTGCGCAACGTGTGTTTCAGCATGTTTCGAGAAAAGCACGTCTAGTAGATACGATGCTACTCTCTGCCTGAGCATTGCAAGCCGCATGCATCGTCATAGCGGTGTGGTTCTTTCCGTACTCCAATCCACCTAGGTGACATAAGTACATCAGAATGAAATAATGCACAGCAGAAAAGCACATGGTCGCTTTGAAATTGGGTCGTGTCCCCAACGACCACACGTGTAAGCTGCCAGCAACTGGCATCGTTTCACTTCCGCTGCCATTTTTCGTCGGCCGTCAGACGAAACCAAATTATCCTGGAAGATTGACGACCGTCTGACACGCGAGGCAGTGACGTCACCCCTCTATCATTACGTCCACGCAAGTTTTTTTTTGATGGAGGGGGGGGGAGGGCGGTATGGCCCAGTAAGTGAAGTCGGCCAAGGCACCAGGTGATCAAGCGGTCACCACTTCTGGAGTGTAAGCATTGTCTAAAATAAACGATGCACGGAAGACGTAACACCTGAAGGCCGATCCGAGGACCGATCCGAGGACCGATCCGACGACCGATCCGAGGACCGATCCGAGGACCGATCCGAGGACCGATCCGAGGGCCGATCCGAGGGCCGATCCGAGGACTGATCTGAATACCGATCTGAAGGGATATGAAGACTTATCGCATGTGAGCTGTAGGCATCCAGTTCCCTTCAAGACATGTGGGAAGAACGGACGGTCTGCTTTAAAGCCTCCCCCATTGTATCGTGCCTCTTTATACATTCACCAACATTTGCTCTGTTTGTCACACATCAACACCACGAATGTATTGGTGAACTCCAGCTAAAACGCACCCAGGTCATGGACAGAAGCGCCCAAGCATACAACCAATCAGTACCTATCCGTTAGTTTCTTGGTTCGGATGACCTCAGGATGCAGCCACCGATAAGGCTACCCCATACCCTTCGGTACCCTCGAAGTGAGTCGCCAGGCTTCAGCTGCGCGACGCTTCAGCTCTGGAGAGCGCCGATAAGCAGCAGACATCAGTTAGAACGGCATACGGAAGATACGGGCATTGTAAATGATATGTCTTATCAGCAATGTTGAAATATCAATCCAACCAGCGTGTGGTTGCCTCCGCATGGGGTTACTTCGGAGTTCAGGTAGCTTCTCAAATAAAGTAAATTAAACGTATAGTAGCTGTTTTGCTGTGGCGGAGTGAAAAAGTCTCCAACTGATAATGGACTATCAACGCCTCAGACAAGGCATGGAATCTATAGCACACTGCCCCAAAAGGTAAAAATAACGAGCGACGTGCAGCCTAATTGCGCTCAGGGGAAGCCGCGTTTTGGTTTCCCCGATGTTTGTATCCCACGACTCTGGCAAGCCCACGCGACCTACGGGGCTTCACGCCGAAGGCTCGGAACAATGCACTGGCAGCGTGCGATGCGTCCACAAAGCCTCGCTTCAGTCGGATAAGCTGTGGCCGCCCAGGTTAACGTTCATGCTCTGGCCCTGGCTGCGATGCATCCGATAGTTAAAGGATTTGGGACCGAGAAGGACTTCACCAGATAAGCCAACCGCGCCCCATGAGGCTGAGCCAACCACGCCCCACAAGGCTGAGCCGAGCACGGCTTACAGGACTGAGCAGAGCGTGCATTACAGGGCTGAGCCGAGCACGGCTTACAGGACTGAGCCGAGCACGGCTTACAGGCCTGAGCAGGCCATGCCTCACAGGGCTGAGCCGAGCACGGCTTACAGGGCCGAACCGGGTACTTCTCACAGGGCTGAGCTAGCACGCCTTACAGGGCTGAGCCGAACACGGCTTACATGGCTGAGCCGAGCACGCCTTACAGGCACGCCTCACGCCTCACAAGGCTGAGCCGAGCACGCCTTACAGGGCCGAGCCGAGCATGCCTTACAGGGCTGAGCCGAGCACGCCTCAGCCACACAGGGCCGAGCCGAGCACGCCTCACAGGGCCGAACCGAGCACGAGAACTGAGCAGGGCGTGCCTTACAGGGCCGAACCGAGCACGGCTTATAGGACTGAGCAGAGCGTGCCTTACAGGGCCGAGCCGAGCACGGCTTACAAGACTGAGCAGGGCGTGCCTCACAGGGCCGAACCGAGCATGGCTTACAAGACTGAGCAGAGCGTGCCTTACAGGCCCGAACTGAGCGGGACTTGCAAGGCCAAACTGAGCACTGCTTACTCGGCTGTGCGGAGCTGTGTCGGTCGGCTGCCAGCTGAGCTGCGACCCCATTGCGGGGCCATAGCTCGGCACGTGCCTGCGCTGGAGGGTGTGGGACGCTACCTAGGGGCAAAACTGATCATCCGCAGCCAGCGGTCGCTCGGAGCGCTTACCCCGCGACCGGCGATAGTGGCGATCATTGGGAGTGCTTACTCGCGGCCGGTGGGCGATCACTGGGAGTACTTGCCCGCAGCCGGCGATCACGGCGATCATTGGGAGCGCTTACCCACGGCCGGCGATCAGTCGGAGCGCGTCCAGGTGTCCCTCGTGGGCGGCCCACAGCGTCGGCGTCATGCCATCCTCATCCTGCGCATTGCAGTCGCGCTTGCTCGCCTCGTGCAGCAGGTCCAGATAGCCGTCCCGAGCGGCCCTGGTGAGAGGTCGTGCCAAGTCATCAAGGTCACATCAGGTTAGGTCAGGTCACGACAAGAGAGAGTGCTCATGTCGGGTTCATTTATGGTCTAGGCGGGAAAGAAGGGGAGGCTGGTAAAGCACAGGCTTAGCCGGGTCCGGGAGAGCCTATTGTCGCGTCAGGTGAAATGGCTGCCGGTCGGAACAGGTGAAATGGCTGCCGGTCGGAACAGGTGAGATGGCTGCCGATCAGGACAGGTGAGATGGCTGTCGATCGGAACAGGTGAGATGGCTGTCGATCGGAATAGGTGAGATGGCTGTTGATTGGAACAGGTGAGATGGCTGTCGATCGGAACAGGTGAGATGGCTGTCGATCGGAATAGGTGAGATGGCTGTCGATTGGAACAGGTGAGATGGCTGTCGATCGGAACAGGTGAGATGGCTGCTGGTCGGAACAGGTGAAATGGCTGTCAATCAGAATAAATGAGATAGTTGTCGATTGGAACAGGTGAGATGGCTGCCGATTGGAACAGATGAGATTTAATCTCAGAAGTTGGCGTGAAACTCGAAAATACCCATTCGGTGGCTTTCAGCTTTGCTTGTACAGTTTTATTTTTATGTAAGTTGTTCAGTTCATTCGTGAGGAACGTTATTAACATAAATAAGACAGTAGTGTTAGCCTTATTCCTCGGAGAAAAAAAAAACAAGAGAATGGAGATATAGTTGGGTCAAGGCTGCTGCACAAGGCTGCAAGACAGCCTTGTGCAACAGCCTTGGACGACCGGAATTACGTCAGAACCAGCACAGAACCCAACTATATATCCATTCTCCTGGTTTTTCTCTGGGGAATAAGGCTAAGGCTACTGCCTTATCTAGTTTTATTTTTTCTCAGTATATGCAATAGTGCTGGCCAATTCATTACACGTTACGCGTTTAAAGCTGTGTGATGCAGCTCGTGGCGCGCTACTGCTCGTCACACACCTCCTTCAAATATGGCCAAAACAAACGGTGCCTCACAGACCAGGGAGGTAGGCTAAGCAGGGTGGACAGTCGAGCCTGCTCCAGAATGTATGACGCTGGGCACAGCCTTCTAACGACAGTCGGTAACAACAAAGGTGGCGTGTCGAGTTACGTAAAACCAGTCCGAAGCAGTGGGTGAAGGGCGCTGACGGTACAGTTAGAGGTCACACCTGGTGTTGGCCCCAGGTCAGGTCCCTCCGCCGACACGCGGAGTGAGAACTGGCCGGTGGCATGCGGCGCTCTTACAGCGGAGCTGTTCAGCCCTAGTCAAACACCACCGCCGGCCGGCAGCTGAAGTCGACAAACAGTGCCACACTGTCTGCTTTCATCAGCACAGAAGTACAGCCCATTCAGGTCACAGGTACATCAGTACAGCCCACTCAGGCCGCCAACATTATGTATGGTCTCTGATCGTGGTCAGATGCGCGCGGGCCGACATAGGGGCAGGACCCGATGTCGACCCAGGCAAGGCCGACATCAGGTCAGGCGAGCCGGACACACATTCCGTTACCGCTGCCGTTGTCATACAGGGCCCGGTTTTTGCGGTCACTAAACAACGTACCAAAATTCCACCTCATGCAGCATCGTGCCTCTGTGGCGCACCGTTGACACGCCGTACAACCGCAAGCTTTCGTCTCTCGCTGGCCCATTCCAAGACTACCACATCAGTGCATCGTGCCTGTCCCCCCCCCCCCCCGACCCCGCGAAGAACAAGCGACGACATGCGTTAAGCTGGTTTGTGGTCCCTGTGCCCTGCTGGGACGCTGTGTTTGCCACGCAGTAACAATGCCTCAGGTTTCGCCTGCAAGACAGCCCTGTGCAGCAGCCTTGGACGGCCGGAACTACGTCAGCGGCAGTGTGCGGCGCTGTTTAAACAACAGGAAGACGCAGCAGCGCGCGAGCCTCAGACGACTCCGCGTCATCAGACCGTGGGGCACTACCACACTCAGACGACTCCACCTCATCAGACACTGGGACACTACTACACCCGGACGACTCCACCTCATCAGACAGTGGGGCACTACTGCACCCAGACGACTCACCCTCATCAGACAGTGGGATACCACCACACCCAGACGCTCCACCTCATCAGACGGTGGGGTACTACTACACCCAGACGCTCCACCTCATCAGACAGTGGGGCACCACTACACCCAGACGACTCCACCTCATCAGACAGTGGGGCACAACTACACCCAGACGACTCCACTTCATCAGACAATGGGACACTAACTCGGACGACCCTACCTCATCAGACAGTGGGACAATTCTTCACCCGGAAGACTCCACCTCACCAAACAGTGGGATACCGCCACGCCCAGACGCTCCCCCCATCGGGCAGTGGGGCACTACTACACCCGGACGACTCCACCTCATCAGACAGAGGGACACTATCACACCCAGACGCTCCCCCCCCCTCAGGCAGTGGGGCACTACTACACCCGGAAGACTCCATCTCATCAGACAGTGGGATACCACCATACCCAGACGCTTCCCCCATCAGGCAGTGGAGCACTACTACACCCGGACGACTCCACCTCATCAGACAGAGGGACACTATCACACCCGGACGACTCCACCTCATCAGACAGAGGGACACTATCACACCCGGACGACTCCACCTCATCAGACAGAGGGACACTATCACACCCGGACGACTCCACCTCATCAGACAGAGGGACACTATCACACCCGGATGACTCCACCTAACCGAACATGATAAATCACCACACTAAGACGTGCGGTCGTGTGAACCGAAAGATGAGCGTGTTCCGGGCTGCTCCGGCCACACTTCAGCTGTCTGTACACTTAAACGAGGCGTAAAATTAAGATACAGTCATTACTTTCAAAGGTGGCCTCGATTACAGGCTTTTTCACGAGTTACCGTTACCTGCTGCCGTAAGCTATCCTCGAAAGGCATTTGCCCCAGGCGCTTTGGATCTAAATAGCACATATTTGTTTTTGTTTGTGTTTCGTATTTAGCTTTTCCTGGACCGACTTATGAGAGAGTGCGATTAGAGCAGAAGAATGGCATTGGTGTTCCAATAAAATGATGACCGATAAAGACGCATTATCCCTTAAATACATCAAGCGCTCTAAAAGCGAATATCCTACAGTATTGCTCCGAGGCGAATGAGACCAATGTTAACATGCTCCAACAATCTTCATCGAGTCTCGCGGCCCTAGACAGTAACCCCTGGCCAGCCCCCTGCGGCTCTGGACAGTAACACCTGGTCAGCCCCCTGCGGCTCTGGACAGTAACACCTGGTCAGTCCCTGCGGCTCTGGACAGTAACCCCTGGTCAGTCCCTGCGGCTCTGAACAGTAACACCTGGTCAGTCCCTGCGTCTCTGGACAGTAACCCCTGGTCAGTCCCTGCGGCTCTGGACAGTAACCCCTGGTCAGTCCCTGCGCGGCCGGCCATGTCCGTCAGGGCCAGCCACACATAGCTGCAAACAGGGCCATCACAGCCGCCCCATCGGCGCTGACTGTGAGGAGCGTCCCTATCAGGCCACCTCGCAGCGGGTGGGCCGGCTATCTGGCGGCGCCGCGCGCCCCGACAGCCGTGCAGGACGACCCGCCCGGATAAGATTGCGACGCTATCGGCTCGAAGCACCGGAGCGACACGCCAGCCGAACACGTCACCTGACCACGTCCTGAGGTCAGTCGGCTGATGCCGGCCGGCGGGCACGCGGATCCGTCCGACGCCAGCTGACGGGCACACGGCTCCGTCTGACGCCAGCTGACGGGCACACGGATCCGTCTGACGCCAGCTGACGGGCACACGGCTCCGTCTGACGCCAGCTGACGGGCACACGGATCCGTCCGACGCCAGCTGACGGGCACGCGGCTCCGTCTGACGCCAGCTGATGGGCACACGGCTCCGTCTGGCGCCAGCTGACGGGCACACGGATCCGTCTGACGCCAGCTGACGGGCACACGGATCCGTCTGACGCCAGCTGACGGGCACACGGATCCGTCCGACGCCAGCTGACGGGCGCACGGCTCCGTCTGACGCCAAACTGTCGGGGCACACGGCTCCGTCTGACGCCAGCTGATGGGCACACGGCTCCGTCTGGCGCCAGCTGACGGGCACACGGCTCCGTCTGACGCCAGCTGACGGGCGCACGGATCCGTCTGACGCCAGCTGACGGGCACACGGATCCGTCTGACGCCAGCTGACGGGCACACGGATCCGTCTGACGCCAGCTGACGGGGCACACGGCTCCGTCCGACGCCAGCTGACGAGCACGCGGCTCCGTCTGACGCCAGCTGATGGGCACACGGCTCCGTCTGGCGCCAGCTGACGGGCACACGGCTTCCGTCTGACGCCAGCTGACGGGCACACGGATCCGTCTGACGCCAGCTGACGGGCACCACGGATCCGTCTGACGCCAAGCTGACGGGCGCACGGCTCCGTCTGACGCCAACTGTCGGGCACACGGCTCCTGTCTGACGCCAGCTGACGGGCACGCGGCTCCGTCTGACGCCAGCTGATTGGGCACACGGCTCCGTCTGGCGCCAGCTGACGGGCACACGGATCCGTCTGACGCCAGCTGACGGGCACACGGATCCGTCTGACGCCAGCTGATAGGCACACGGCTCCGTCTGACGCCAGCTGACGGGCACACGGATCCGTCTGACGCCAGCTGACGGGCACACGGATCCGTCTGACGCCAGCTGATAGGCACACGGCTCCGTCTGACGCCAGCTGACGGGCACACGGATCCGTCTGACGCCAGCTGACGGCACACGGATCCGTCTGACGCCAGCTGACGGGCACACGGCTCCGTCTGACGCCAGCTGACGGGCACACGGATCCGTCTGACGCCAGCTGACGGGCACACGGATCCGCTGTCAGTGACCCTGAGGTCAGTCGACTGATGATCTTGAATAATTCAAAGGTTTCAGGCTTCTTTGACATACGTGTCGCATGGTGGGTGGCTGATGTCTTGCTCTGTGAGCTGATGTCGGCCCGCAAAAAGGAGAAGAGAAAACA